CTAAAAGAAGAGCCCAAGTCAATGGAAACCCAAGACTACAGGAGATAAACAGGGAGCTCACTAGCTGTCGGATTAAAGTGGAACACGCCATAGGATTCTTTAAAACGTATCGCTGCATTTCTGAACGTTGGAGGCACCCTCGTGCTTTTCTCCCTATAGTTATACATTGCTGCGCTTCTTTGAGTAATCGGAGATTGCTTTTCTTGCAAAATACGTATTAAACAACAGCTTCAATATATTGAAATACCGGTTTCAGTCATAAGTTGTAGWGGGTGAATTTTTGGTTTTGTTTCTCTGATTCTCTCACACTGAAACCCTCATTCACAAAGGGAACAATGTTTTCGAGTCTGCCACGATAAAAAAGTCAGTTCTGTTTTGCAAATGACTTTCATCATTAATACGCACTAAATATTTTGTAGTTTACGCTGTCTTGTTCTTGAAATAAAGGTTAAAAAATTCATTAGTCGTCTCCTTTATTTGACATAGAGGATATTACATGGGCGCGCGGAGATACGAATTTTATCTTCGAGTGTTGATGGTATCTCTCACGAGTGAGCGCAGCGAACGACTGAGAGATATTCAACACGAGAAGATAAAATTTGTATCTCCAAGTGGCCATGTAATATTCTGTTTATTATATAGATATCGATGAGCGAAATACGAGGACTTATCCGGTGTCCTAAACCTTCGTACATTCTACACAGTGAAGATATCATATCCGTCACATGTGAAGATATCACTGTTGTCATGACTACCTTCATATTTCATCGATATCTATATAATAATATCCTTTGTCTCACTCGGGTAGGCGATAAGAGATAAATGCGTTGATATACCATTATTTAATTTACTCGCCAAACAATGGCTTTTGTTTCCTGAGCTCATTAAATTCTATCACGAACTTCACAAAGTGGGTCAAAACCAGACATGAGACATATGTCTTATACATAAAAGGTCTATTTGGGAGCATTATTCTTCTAGAGATTAACAGCTTTCCAACGTAACAACGTGCAGTTGAAAAGCGTGTTCATTACGGTTCGTAGCACATTGATCACGTTAAGTGAACATGTTTATCTTGTATATTTTAGTTGTATGACATTTAATTATGCAAATATTCGCTAAGTATATAAGTTAGTGTAATACTAAATGTATTTCTCTCGCTTGTTGGACATCCAACATTTGTATCCAAACTTATTCAAATTTACGTTACATCTACTTTCGTGAAATATAGCTCTAGCCCTCGGAGCGTAAATACGTCGAGGACTACGTTTTCCAGTGGGCTTTTTCCCCAAGAGGTTTTATCCTTTTTTTTTTTTCGTAGCGGGCAGCGTATTATTGTAATGTAACAAAATATAGGTTCGTTTTCAATTTACTCTGAAAATAATAATATTCCTTAAATTTACAAAAATTTACAACCCTTTAGCCCTTTGTTCCATCATCGAATTGGAATTAAGGCGCCCGTTAGAATTGAGGAGAAACCGGAGATAAACCTTCGAAGCACAGGAGAGAATCAACGAACAACTCTACTCGCATTTGACACCGAGACCAGAGGAACTCGGACCCGGGTCGCATATAAGTGCTACTTTGAATTCCGGTTTAGCTTATGCGCGCTCACCACTTTCCCAACTGAACACATAAACCACATACCAAATCCCGAACAAAATATAAATATTGCGTTCTATGAGTTCAAAAATTCAGAAAGTTGTTTCTTTAAGCTATTTAATACAGTAGAGTGCAAATAATATACCTGTGAAATAGATAGCTAGCCAACTAATTACTAACCTTTGGTTGCCTAAGTCTAATTAGTTAAAATAGGCAAGCCGTGACGGGTAAACTAGGGTACGTGTGCTACACAAGGGCGCGCATTTTTAAATATTTTTAAACACACTTACAAAAACTGAAACAATATTTTGTTGTACATGCTTTTCCTTTGTATAATTTGACATGTTTGTATTTTCGTATCTATTCATTTGCGTATTGAGTTGTTACTCTAGTAAACGCATCTCAGTCCATGTATACAGTCAATTCAAAAAACGTTGTCGTCGACCGACTCAAGCCTACGCGACTGCATCGAAAGGAATATGGGTAAAAATCACTGAAGCGGTTAAATATTCGTTCTGAATTAATTGTCCCGCTAGTAGTAAATATAATAATGGCGAGAAACAATCCATCAAATGCATGTCTTCGGGTTTAGGGAAGGAAAAACAAAGTAGTTATGATTCAGTTCACAATTCCGAAAATATGAAGGCATTAAAAAATGTCTCCTTCAACACTTCCCGCTCGCCTACGAAGGTTCGTGCTGTAAGCATAACTAGTCAGATAAAATTATGGAGTCAGCTCGGCTTCAATGATTACTACCCAGAGTTCCTTTCGGTCCAGTCGCGTAGGCTTGAGTTGGTCGACGACAACATTTTTTGAATTGACTGTATCAGTCCATCCCATTTGCTACATTTAAAGGACATTTGTTGTTTTTCAAGTTTTGTTTATTTTTTTCAGTCCATGGCCGCTTTCTTATTAGTATTGTTGTCTTTTGTCCATCAAAGTCGGGGTAGTTTAATTTCTGCCATAACTTCTCGTTTCAGGAGCTCCATAAGACCTTTATGGAGCCAACTAATAACAAGATTAACTTCATTTTACATGTAAATACAAGCGTGTCATCTAGTAACGAATTAATGTTCCGGGTTTTGTCGCACATTTTTGAACCCGAGAATTTGTTTAATCGCTTGGCGCACGACCGACAGCCTGCAACAATAAATAATTGGGTTTAAAGATGAATTAATGTATACTCCAGTTATGGTAATGTTACGAACGATCCCAACTCCTAAAGTATATTGACGCTTATAGAATATTTCAACAACAAGATGAGGCAAGTAGCAAACTAGTTGAAGAGCATAAATCAACAACATGCCTGTTACAGATTTTCGAAAGGATTGCAAATCAAATTCTTCTTGCTTTGTGGAATGTTGATCGTTCCCTTGGCTCATGGCTGTTGCTTGACATTTTATTTGATTATGATGGCGTCGAAGAATGAAATAAATACGGATGTAGGCAAAAGAAGTGGTTAGTAAACATAACGGTATGAACAGACCTTGCGCGTAAAAATTCACGTCCGGGAAGAAATAGTCGAAAATGTTTAACAGTGCTGAAAAAATCCATGGAAATAATACGGCTGAGAGTAGCTTCTTAGGAGTTACCATCGACTTATAGCGAAGATGGTAGTGTAATGCAAGAAAGCGCTCACAGCTAACGGCTGTAACAGTCAACAATGAAACAGAAGCAAAATATGTCGAAATGAAGGATAAGTAGAAGCGGATCTGATAATATTTATCAGACAACCCATTTATCAGCCAATTTAACTTCCAGATAACATATAAAGGGTGACAAATGAGACCTACTCCAAGATCAGATATCGCTAAGCAGACCAGAAGTGCATATGAAGGCTCTGTTAATGAAAGTTTTTTCAAAATGGCAATCAGGACAAGGAGATTCCCAACAACTGCTGTAACAGTAAAAAAAGAATGTAGAACTGAAGTGGATATGAATGTTACGTGAAAAGCACTTGAATGATTCACGAGTAGTTCTGAGGTCTTGTCTTGTACGTTTGGAACCAGCATCTTCAAAAGACGGCAACTAGAGTTTGTTTTTCGTAAAAAGAAGCGGAAAATCTCCTAGATATATATCCAGAGACAAACAAGAACGTATTGTTCCACCTACGAAAGTCTTCTTGTTCTCGAGAGCAAATACTACGAAATGAAATTTTAGTTCTTTCTCGAATTCGAAGCCTCTGAAGTCTGTAGGTAAACCTTCGCCATTGAGTTTGTTTTTTCGTAAAAAGAAGCAGAATTTCTCCTAGTTATATATCCAGAGACAAACAAAATCGTATTCTTCCATACCTACAAGTCTTCTTGTTCTCGAGAACAAATACTGGGAAATGCAATCTTTGTTCTTTCTCGAAGCCTTTGACTAAGTCTGTAGGTAAACCTTTAACATTGATTTTTCCCTTATCATGACCACCTTCCGGGAAAGAGAGCAATAATAACTTGAGGAAYACAATTGTGAAGATGAAAATGACAAAGAGACGAATCCATTTATATAGTTTAACAATGAAAGGTTGAATGGCCGGTTAATTGCGCCGAAGGCCTTTAAATCATCTTAATCGAGCCATTAGTACTGAGTGAGAGGAAAGCTCTTATTTAAAACGCCCGTTACCGGAAAATTTTGACAGTACTTTAAAGCTGTAGGAAAACTTCCTTCACTTTAGGCCTTCTTAGACCAAGAAATTTAAAGCGGTCTTTGTTTTTTTAATGCACACTTCCTATCTTTAAAAGCTCTAGAATCCCTGGAACTGATTTTCAATTAGTTTCCCTGTTGAGTCTCCTTTTCAATGTTTTTTCTTTTGTGGGAGAGTCATTTTTCTTTTTCTCTCTCCCCGAAAAAAAAGATGACAAAAGGAGCCTCTGCCAGCAGGGAAGGAAATAGCGAGCACTTGCAGTGTGGCAGTAGTTCACTTGTTGGAAGTGAATATATTTTTTCACTTATTACAAAAAACGGAATTTTCGCGCTTTGATGTTTTCTGGCTAAGATACAAAAATTCACACCATCATCATCATCATAGTTTCCCTCGTGACTCGAGATAAGCCTTGGGGCGCGTCCTTGGAAATCGCTGTTCTAATAGACGCTTGAATACTCTACTATTCATCATTGTCCTTCCAGTCTGCTGCCTGTCAGCCCCCAGTACCTCCTCCACTCTCGTCAAGGTCTTTGATGGTTTTCTTTTATCAAAAAGCACCTGCTTTTGTAGTGCGTCCTTTGCCACACATGTTCCATACATTTCAAATATTGGACATGACAAAAGTCTCAAAATCAAAGATCATGCTTCGTATTCCTCATCGGAAATTGTAGCAAAACGATTGCCGGCAGATGCCATTTTGTTGCCGACTCAATATTCCGAGATTCAGAGGTGAATATCGTACAATATTCACCTCCAATTAACCAATGAGCGCGCGCGTTCTTAGGAAGTACACAAGTTGGTATATGCTAATGCTTCGTATTCCAATCTAAAAGAAAATTACATTGTTCGGCTGCGAAAATATTGCCATTTGCCTCTTGCTAATTGGTAACAGATTTCATTTTTCTGAAAAAAGTGTATAGTGTTTTCACTCACGTGACAAGGCAGCCATATTGGCGTATCAAACAATAGAAACTTTCTGCACAGTTTTTGCATAAARATAGAGTTCAATTCCCCGAGAATAGAAAATGAATTGTTTTGGTACACCAACACGGGCGCTGTAGCGTCACGTGAAAACGCTCTACCGGATGAATGAATGTTTTTCAGTCAATGAAGACCCTTTAGCTTACTCTTTATATACATTCATTCGTATATTCATAAATATAATATTTCTATTAGGACAACAAGCCACGTTTTTGTTATAGCTACCAGTCACTAGCTTGTTTCTCAATACTGATATGAATAATGTGTAAAGCAAAATTAATATTCTTGGCAAAGAAATTATATAAACAAATATCATTGCCACATAAAGTTATAGTTTTACGTATTCTGGTATCTTACGCTCAGGACATTGACCTTGAATGATCAAGGAAACCGGAGTAGTCTGAGAATATTCTCAAAGCAAGCGAAGGATAGAGGTGGAAAACAAACACCCTCGGTTGATATAAGCACCAAGTCCGGGCAATGGACCAGGTATCTAGAGATGATAGGTGTGTGCTCTTACTACTAGTACTTCCCAATCTTTATTTTGATAAAAATGCATGACATCTCTAATCCAACTTCACTTCACCAGTGTCTGGATTCATTACTGTCTTTACAATATATTACTATACTCGTTGGTGATTGGCTATTTATTAAATCTTTGTATTCTGTTTTAGCCAATCAGAAACCTCATTTATCTCGTATCCAGTAGGTCCTGCTCCACCTTGATAGACCACGTGATCATCCTCAATGACGTAGAGTCTTATTGGGAAAGCCCCGTATGCAATGTTTGCAGCGTTCAACATGGTGTCGACGAGAACAGGACAGCGAGATGCATTGTGGGTAGATAGTAACCTCGCCATCGCACAGCGTTCACTTTGAGTCTTAGGCGATGGGACATCAAAGTTATTCTGTCAAAATAAAAAAACTGTTTCAGAAATATAATAAGCTTTGACATCTTTAGTYTGTGATATTTTTAACGAGAAAAAAACAAAAATAAATAAATAAACCAAAACGGAAAAATCTATGATTTTAAATGAAAATCAAGAATCCTAGAAATGACTCAAGTCTATGTATAGAGGCTTTGCACCATCACGTGATGTCAGCCATGACAGGAGGCACAACAATAGTCTTTTTTCCCATGGGAAACCGAATTCTTTCTCATGTAAATCAGATTAGACCAGATTCAATTGTTCCTGCCTCCTGTCATGGCTGCCATCCCGTGATGGTGCCAAGCCTCTATTCCTCTGACATGCATGGTATATTGATACTCACTTCCAAGGCCCAGCCATCAGAGGGATGCGCTTCTTCTGTATACACAATAATAAAATCTGCAATATCCTGAAAATCTTTCATCATCTTTTGGTATTGTTCCAATTTTTTCATAAAGACTGGACAAGTAAGACTGCCAAAGTTCACGATCAATGGTCGATTCGGGCGTGACCATTCCAGTAATCGACAGTATTCACCGTCTAGCGTGACAAGAGGTGAATTGAATACCTTACCTAACAGAAAGAGATATGGATTGCGTTAAAGAGAAACATGATTGGGCGTAACGTTTTGCCATTTCATATTACGTATTTCCTTGAGATGTCTTCCGTTGTCGATGACGATAGGGAAACGTTCTATGCATATGCTAATAATAATTCATTTTCTAATGGGTTTGAAATTCTTTATTATATAGAATATCCTTAAGAGTGGAGATTTCCCAAATCACCTTTTCCGGCGAAGATACAAGAAAGCAACAGCATCAACCAGGGCCCGGTTGTACGAAGGGTATATAGCGCAATAAATCCCTACTCAGTAGATAAGTCGATGCTTTTATCTAATGAATCTATCCACTGGAAAGCGCTATCCACTCTTCGTACAACCAGGCCCAGACCAATAAAATTTGCGAACCGCTGTTCCTTTCAAAGATATCTTTTGGCACGTCACACGTAATACACCTTTCCCGAATTCGATTGAGTATAACCACAGAACAATAGCTTCCTGTCGAGGTAGGACTTGATGTGTTCATAAATTAACTGTATTCTATCAAGTCCGACCTCGAGAATCAGGAGTGGTCAATTGGGCTTCCGTTCTATAGCGGTTTTAGAGTCTTGCGGAAACTTGTATCAATCAGCACCTATAACACATCACGAAAATGGTGTTGTTTGTCACCATGTATATGTAAAGTGCTTTAACTGACTTTATAAAATAACTGCTCTAAATCTCGCGTTCTGATTGGTTGAGAGCGCGAGCTTTATAAGAGCACACTGCACGCGCGCGCACTTTCAGTTTTGTCATTCATGTAATTTATATTTTAGGAAAGAAATAAAAAACTTGCTTGCTGTGCTGTGTGCAGTTATAAAGCACTTGGGGATTGGCATGACACGAGAGAAGTGTCGAGAAGCACTCCGCTACGCGTCGTTCTACTCCTAACACTTCTCTCGTGTTCTGCCAACTTCTACGTGCTTTATAACTGCACACAGCACTCGCGCGCGTTTTCTATTTCTTCATTAACGTGTTTTTATTGCACCGCGGTTCAGTTTAGTTCAAACCCAAAAATGGTAGAAACCGCTTAGAAAACAAACAAAACTTAGATACAAGAATTATGGAAATCAGAATCGATTTTGGCTTTTTGTCCAAAACGTAGCACCTCTAGGGTTTCCCACGCTATTTACTAGTAAACCCATAAAACCAAGACAGTCCACTATGATATGAATGGTTTTAGTAAAGCGCTTAGGTTTTGCTTCTTATCCAAAAAAATAAGGCGAAAGAAAACAAAGAAGCTTGAAGAGCCTGAGATGTGAAAAGCCATACTTTTCCTTTGCTGTAATGGCGAGCTTAGTTTTGTAGTTTGAAGTTTTCAAAATTTAGTTTATGACTTATAGTTTATATTTATATAGACAATTATTAGAAGAGTGGTAGCTAGGAAATAAATACGAGTAAAATACAGGATTGCTTGTAGCTAGTCAGGGAACGCAAAAAAAATTTCTGAGTCTATCTGGCATTGATGAATTGAACCAGTGACCTTCTGGAAATTTTTCCCAGTTCCCTGATAAGCTAGTGACAATCCTATACTTTACTCATACTTATATACACTATATTAAAGAGACTCACCAGAAGGTTTCGTAGTTTTATTCCAGTCAACAAGGATACTATCCACAACTCCTTCCAACATTTCGTGACTGAACAAGGACTTCCAATAAATATTAGGCGAAAGTCGAACACCACAAATCACATCAAAAAGACGACACAAGCAAGGACGAAACCGATGAAATGACTTCAGAACTAACCCCAAAATGAATACTCCTCTTAACAATAGATGGAGCATACTTCGCTTGGTGATCTGGAGGCGAGTTGTGGAGCGGTCGAGCATGGTGGAGCCTTGGAAGTGTAGCGGAGTGTGTCCCAGGAAGAAATGTTTTGAATCAGATAACTGGCATGGGGCATTATATAAGCCTGTTTAGACATAACGGTGTTTACATTACGAAGCAACGTTGTCACAATAGATTATGTAGGCTTTATAATCCGATAAGTAGTGTACTGACTTTATTCTATTGTGTTATAATGATCAGTCGAATTCAATTACATGGGATATGACGAATGCTGTATTAGTTACAGTCCTCCATTACTAAAATAACATTAACGTGTTTTTCTTAACAATTAGGACCTAGAAAACTGAAAAAGGCCAACAGAACACCATTGCGCAAAGGATATGTTCATTGAATTATTTATTCAGAGCATTTTGCTTACTTTTTCAGTTGCAGATGTAAAAAAAACCTGGGTTCTAAGATATCAATGATATYATTGCAAAAGGGGCAGGGTTTCTGAGCTTGGTCCAGTGGCGTATTTAAAGATCGAAGCTGTCTTCATATAGTACGAAGTGTTGAAAAACGTTGTCGCAAATAACATCGTTACGTAACCTGACTAATACTTGATGTTGGCGGAAACAAAAGGAAAAAATAATGACAGGTTGAAAAGACAAGATACAATATGACGACAAGGAAATGCTCCACCCAAGCACTTCGCTCATTACAGTTGGAGATTTGAAATGAAAACGGTGAAATAACAGCGCGTAGGGATATTTTACCGTAGCCTTTACTTYCTTAAAGAGATCGTTTGGACACTCGATGATAAAACTCAGATCTTCGCGTGCCATCTATACAGTCAACAAGAAAGAAAGTCAAATGACGTCACCTTAGAATGACGTCATTCACCGACATCATCACGAACAAGGCGATAAACCACACAGATGACGTTAATATCCTGCCGCAATACCAGGATTATTTTAGAAGGCAACAAGGGTGAAAAATAAACGCAAACTGACTGAGTTACTTTGGCAAATTTCGACAATTCATTTGACACCATGAAATTTATAAATCAAACCTTCAAAATTGGAGCGTGCCCTACGAAAGAGTCCGGTTCTATGTGTACATTTTAGCGCGCGTCTCTTATYGTAAACCCTCCTATTGACCACAGTTTACGTCATCAAATGGTCCAAATTCTTGTGGTCTATTCCTTGCACAAAGTGAAGCCCATTTTTTAACAATAATAAAAGATAAGCGAGAAAAAGCTGATTCAAAAATCATGCAATCCAGAAAAAATTACCAAAGCCTTGAGGCCTGAATGGTTGCACAATGGTGTTGTATGTACTATAATATACAACGGTGATCAATCAATTAGAAGTGAAAAGGTAGGTAGTTATGTTTTTATGTATGTAGGCATGTAGATAGGAAGGCGGACAGCTAGGCACTGTAGGTTGGTATATCGTTTTATTTTGAATCGCCCTAAGTCTCGTAGCATTAGTCTGAATTCCAGCGTTTTACAATTAAACCAATACCCCATTCACATCTAAACCTGTTTAGTTAATAAAGAAAAAAAAAAAAGAGAAACTAGAAACCTACAATATAATGAAACTTTCTAAAATATTGTCAGAGCAAGACAAAGGATAGCTTACATGCATTATTTCACCAAAGATTGTGTAGGTGCTCGTAGATAGTTTTCAAACCCTGTTTAGTTAAACCACTTTAAAACAATGTTTAAGCCTTGGTGTGAATGAGGTATAAGATTTATTAAAAATGAAAATAAGAAAATACAGTTTAAGGTGTCCTTAATGGATAGATTTTTCGAATCGTCAACTACACTATACATGGCAAACAAAGGATGAACCAGTCTCTTTACAGCTGGTTTTTTCCAGTGTGCATCTTATTCCACAAACAAAATCACTATCTGTAACTGATTTTTTGTATAAATAACAATTCCAATACAAACGATACCAAGAAGAAATTAATCTGTCTGTAATCAGAAATTTAGGTGTGCAAATCTATACTACTGACGACGCAATGGGTTGTGAGATGTAGCGGCAGTATCGGAACCATCAATGAAGATTGTTTGAAGTATAAGAATAGAAGAGAAAGTATAACAGCTTTGAGAGAAAAAGAGTGTCATTAATTAGATTTTTTCAACACAACGTTGTTGCCTGACTGCACTACTGGAATGAGCTCCTGTCTGTATTCCAGGGGCAAATATTTCTCGATAAGCGAATTCAATGACTGCTTGTCAGTGATGAAACCTTGCCTGCGTGAGGAAAAGAAAGGAATATGAGAGAAGAAAAAAGAAAGTGTTTTCCACATACCAAGGGATGGATTCTTGTGTGGAAAGAGTTCACTTTAATACTGTTTCTGAGCAGAGTCTTTCTAAGAGGGATCCAAATTTAGCAAGAAAATTGTCAACCTCAAGAGTATAAATGCTCATACAGTAATCTTCAAGAGCCCTGACTTTATTGCAAGAATTTTTTGATGAGAATAAAAAAGAAAAGAGAGCAAAGAGGTGACATTGAAGGTGCACCGTGTTGGCAATGGTATGGTTTGGCTTTAGTAAGTATGTATTATTGTTATTTATTTAGTCATTCAGTTGCTATGGATACAAATGCTGTACCATACCAAAGGTGAATGATCATTTTATTTTGAAAATTATTTGATTTAATATTGTTCAATAATGCATTCATTGATTGCAGTGATAAAGAATAGTACATGTAACTGTTTTACCTTTTCATGAGTAGTTCCACATCTCCAATCTCTATTGTACTTCGCCCAGCATGGCTAGAGTAGGCCATCAGGTCCGATGAGACTTGCTTGAAGAACACACTGGACCTATATAATGACCATACAAGCTTATTATCAATATTAGTAAACATGGTAAATGATAGCGGGAGATTTTGTTGACAGCATTGTGAAATGGGGTCAATTGAGGTCATATTTTAAATGTTTTTAAATCAGCTGCAGCTCTAGATCACTACTCTAATGAAAACACTTGGACATAACACCATGATCTTGTTTATGGCACAGCATATAGGTACATGTACAGTATATGCAGTTTGTATTTTTCATTGTTATTATTGAAAATTAGCTATGCTGGGAAATGAAAGCAAATAGAGGTGTGGAATAGAGGACACTTTTCTTGCTTATTACTTAAATTTAAATGTATGTATATGAAGAGATAACTAGCTAAAAACTAGTGTGAGCTGTGTCGGTGTTTGATGAAACAGTAATGAAAAAAAGGTAAATTATACACYGTGAAAAGATGAAAAGCTGATGTTTTGGACGCTAGTCCTTCGTCAGAGTAAAAGAGCATTGTATATGTATTATTATTATTATCATTATTATTATTGTTCACTTTTTTTCTTTTTCCTTGTTAACCCTTTATACTTTTATACTTGCTGACTATTTATTATTTCATATATCCTTTAATGCCCCATAAGCCTCTGGCTTGGGCCTCATCAATCAYAGTAGATGCTATTTTTTCTTTATTGTTGAATAAATTGTTTAATATATTGTTTGTGTTGAAAGTTATTAATATCTGAGGTACACCAATGATGGCTTAGAAGCATTCCCAAGAGCATGCAAACAACAAAGACATGGTGGTCATGTTAGTAGTGGTGGTAACAAAGGGTGCTAATGAAAAATCTTTAATACTGCCAATATGGCTGCGATGAGGTAAAGCGCAACCGAAGAATGTTAAGGATCAACAATTCAAGTAAGTTATAATTTGAATAAGATTTACATAAATGCGTACCCCTTTTCTATGGAATTAAGAGTATTTTTTGAAATCCTGCTTTTAGAGAAATGTTGAAATATGCTCTTGACCAGGCCTGATGGGAGGTTTGTATCACCAGAAGAAGTGCTAAAATGACATAAAAAAAGATTATTTTACTGAAATATCAACCACCAGTTAACATCAAACTGTGATCTTCATAACTGACCTTTTTGTTTTGATTCTTTTATTTATTGTTGGTGGTTTCCTTGCAGCTTTAGGGACCCTATAATTTGTAAATTTTGTTCTAGTTTCAGATAACTTGTGCAGCAACAATTGAAAATGCAAGCAAGACATTAAATATAAAGCTATTATTACTACCCTAGTCCCCACTGAGCTGGGTATCTGTTGTTTTAGCTTCCACATTGGAAACAACATTTCATTTTCAAATGAGTGTTTATCTCACTCAAAAGCCTCAAAAGTACCATTTCAAAAAGTATTCTGTTTTTATTTTGTTTCAAAATGGAAGTCATTGTCAGGGTTCAAAGATGCCTGTGGTGTGAAACAATATCTCGGAACATCAGTAATCTTCCTGGACGGAAAGTTCTAATCCATGACAAGTTACTCCAGAATCTTGCAAGGATACAATTCTATCCTCCAACATGCTTGCACTATTTTATACATCTTGGTGGAAACATTGCTTTTATATGAAGGATTGCTTTCTCTAGGTGTGACAAAATAAATCAATCCTACCTTTTACTTTCCTCCTCCTCCTCTTCTTCTTGCGCTGTTTGTTTTTCCAAGAGAATCTTCCTTGTCTTTAAAGGTAGATGGGGAGTCACTAAGTCCTTCCATCTACTTTTTTCAGGAGGCTCAGAACTGGTGTCGACAGATGGCATAATAATGTCTTCATCTGGAATACTGTCTGAGTGAGATTCTTGTTCATCATTTGTCATTGTTCTTGTAGAGAACTCATTAACTCCTTCAGGTGCTATTTCAGGTATATCAGCTTCAGTGTTCACTGGAACATGACTTAAAACCTTGGCATCCTCTGTAAACAATTATCTTAAGATCAGTCATATTAATTGTACAGACCTCTTTTCCTTGGGCATAATGTTTTCCCATTTCAGACCTTCAATGTCATTCCCTAGAGTATCATTTCTTTGTTTAATGGTTGAGCATGAGAAAACACATGAATATTGATACAACTCAAAAAAAAAAGAGAATGACAAGTGGTCTGAAATGGGAAAACATTATGCCCAAGGTAAAGAGGTCTATATGTTCACTGGATTGAAAATGTTAAAGCGCTGGAATACATAGTAAAATCCTAAGGCTATAAAATACTTCATGTACAGTAGTTACATACCAYTGTTTTTATTCACTGAATTCTGCCTTAAGAAAGCATCATTTCCTTCTTTCATTTCACCAGCCAAAGGAGTCTGACTATCTTCTGAATTTGGCAGACTATCAATTTCATGGTCTGGAATCTCCTACGTGATTATAAACAGAGTAAGGGGTAATCTCAAACATGATAAAACCTTGCATATTTATTTTACTACATTCTCTGCTAGCTTTGGCTGTTATATTACAGAGTAGGACAATCACAATASAGCCACAATAGAAGAAAGCACAAAGATCAAATGAGAGATTTTTTAAGGAGGGAGGAAAACTGGAGAACCCAGAAAAAATCCTTGAATGGGACGTTTGCATGATGGCRTCATTGAACTCTACTATTAGACTCCCTTGCAGAATTTCTTTTGTTCAGTTAATTAGCACCCACTGTCTTACTATTCTCATGAGGAAATACAAATTTAAATAAGAAAGAAAAGTTTTGAAGCATCTTGGTAGGGGRAGTCAAATGACGCCATCATGCAAACATCCTATTTAGGATTTGAAAAATTTCAGGCTTACATTTTCAGTTGTTGTAGAATCTTGTTGTAGAGAGGATGTTGAAGCTTGCATGTCATGAGGCAGAGATTGGCTGCTTGTATCATTATCATTATCTTGAAAACGGTTTTCAGGAAGTTTGAGAGGCACTACTAGTGGGGTTTCTGGTGAGGCTATTAAAAAAACAATACGAATGTTATGAGTAATAAATGATAAACTTTTGAGAATTAATATACTGCACAAAACTCTACAAGATTTATATTAGTAAATGCTCTTTACAGTCATTATCTTTAGTTTCTCAAACGGAAGGGTTCAGTCAACCACTACAGAGTAGATAATGTAACTAAAAAATTGCTACAATAGGACATTTTCATGGCATCATTGACCACTACTACCAGACTGTTGCACATTTTCTTTTGTTCATCGGTTAATTAGCACTTCTTACTATTCTCATGAGGGAATACAAATTTAATTAAGAAAGAAAATTTGCAAAGCATTATGGTAGTGGGAGTCAAATGACAGCATCATGCAAATGTCTTATTAAGAGGAAAGTTTGCTTGTGTTAAAATCTTTATTGCCTAGGTCTAGAAAAATAGTCATATCTCATTTACACAGGGAGAAAGGGTCGGAGGGTCAAAATAAGGGTCGTTCTTTGTACCATTTTGATGGAACTCTCTTGCATAGAAGTAGGATAGGGGTCTAACATCAGGCCCATAAATGATCTATTTAATTGGGTTATTAAATTTCAATCAGCAGGAACAAAAGCAAAATCTGTATTGCTGAGAGTTCAAAATTGATGAAACTAAGTACCATTATTTTTCAAGGTAGCAAGCCACCTTAAATCAGGTAGTCTTTGCTTTTTTTTAGACCCTCTGACAAAGAGATTAACTTACCTTCCATTAAGAAATTCTTAATAATTGTCCTTGGGGTAGCATTGTCTCCTAAAGACTGTCTTATTGCTTTCTTTTTCTTTCGTGGGGGTCCTGTGGCAGGGCTTTTGGTCAGCTTTGATTTCCGTGATGCAACAAGGCTACTTTTACTGACAGATRCAGCATCTAGGATTCCTCCAATCTGAGACAGATTATACAAATTTTGCTGTTCCCTTAATCATCAACATGTACAGCAGGACTTATAATAAAGCCCAGTGTTCCAACATTGTCTGGCTAGAATTGTTCAATCAAATCTTTGCCCTCCTGGTTGTTTTGACTGGTAAGGTTTAAGCAGAAACAAGGTATGCAAACAAAATCTAATCATAACTGACCATTATTTTAATCCCTGAAACTGTAGTCTGAAAGCTATTTGCTGGGTGGTATAGACCCGGCATAATCAATTAAATGTTTCTGAAATCGATCCAATCGAACGCAATCACATTCTTGGATTTGATTGCATTCGGCAATCAAATGAAACCGAATGCTAAGAAAATTGTGAAATTGTACGATTGAACATAATCAAATGTACACTGTGTCTGATTGACTCCAACTATTTGATTGTGTTCAATTGGCTCCAATTCTTTTGTGAATTCGATTTCATTTGATTGCCGAATGCAATCGAATGCAATCATTACATGGGATTTGATGGATTCGAAGGTTTGATTTCATTCAATAACTATTGATTACGCCAGTTATAGAAGATATCTAACTATAAAGTACAGCAACATGTTTTACATGAATTTTCTATCCCTCAAACTTACAAGTGTTCTTGGTGTAGCATCTTCAGATGGTGTTGTCACATGAGCCTTGATGTTTCTAGTACTGGTTACTAGCCCAGATCTGCCAAATATCTTGGCTGCAACATCCCTGGCACTTGGTGTAGCTCTTTCCATATCAGCTGTTAGTAGTTAACCCTATTTAGGAACTTTATCTTTGAAGCGATTGTTGTTAAGTTTATCAGCCCTCTGAAATACACCATTCCATCTATAGTTCTTCAGTCGGCACAAACTAATATTATTAAAATAGAAATTTAAATTAGGGTTTAAAGTCTCTATGCATTTAATTAAATCATTATTTTGTAGTTTTTTTTAAAAAGGGTAGTTTTTGGGGCAAAAAGAAAAGAAGTAAGAATGAGCAGATGGCTACAGTGAAAGRAAAATAAAGACGTTGAAATAGAAGATAGACGTTGGTGGTACATGTACAGGTACGTAAACTCTCGTAGAAAAAGACATCATTAAGCACAATTTAAAAAGCCCGTTAAAAAAACAAACCTTATAAACAATAAATACAAGTATCTAAAGAAAAGATTTTTCGAAAGAATAAAGATATTCGTCATAAATGAACCAGGAAAAAGAACTAACCTTTTTTCTCATGTGTTTTTGTTCTCCTGTTGTCCGCCATCTTGTTTCGTATTTGCCGCGCTAGGCATGCATTGCATGCTGGGTAGAATAGCGAGGTTACCCAGCTTTCTGTCCCCGAGGAGCCGAGCCTGCCGAGTCATTCTTTTTACAAAGGGAGAAAAAGTTTGGATCTCCAAAGAAAAATATATTAAAATTACACTTTGTACAGACTTAGGGTTTGAATCGCAATGTCTGGGGGTTCATATGATAGAGCTATAACAGTGTTTTCACCTGATGGACATTTATTTCAAGTGGAATATGCCCAGGAAGCCGTCAAAAAAGGGTCGACAGCCGTAAGTTTTTATCCTGTCCAATAATTGTTCATAAACACCTTATCCTATCAAAACATGAGTATTCATTTTTGATATCATTGGACGTTTTTAAGGTGGGAGTCCGTGGAAAGAACATCGTCGTCCTTGGAGTAGAGAGAAAAGCTGTTGCTAAGCTTCAGGACCCGAGAACAGTGCGAAAGATTTGCTCGTTGGATGATCACGTTTTCATGGCATTTGCAGGCAAGTTACACTATTCCATGGTTCCAGTTGATTTCTTCATAGTGATTACTATGTTTTTGTACATTTTTAGGTAGTAATATTGAGAATATAATGATCTTTTCAGGTCTAACAGCAGACGCTAGGATATTGGTGAACAGAGCACGAGTTGAGTGTCAAAGTCACAAGCTGACCGTAGAAGATCCTGTAACACTGGAGTATATTACTAGACATATAGCTACTTTAAAACAAGTAAGTAGTGATCATTTATTCAAAAATTTCGTATGCTTCACTTTAGGGTGAAGTAACCAGAAAGGTGCGTAATGTTTAGCAATATAATCACTAAAGTTGACAAGTATTCACATGAATTCCCATATGGTCTAGTGGTTAGGATCCGGCGCTCTCACCGCCGTGGCCCGGGTTCGATTCCCGGTGTGGGAAGGAAAATTTTTTGAAATTTTTTTTGGTTTTATTTTTTAAAATATGTTCCCTTTATTTTTATTTCATTTCAGTATACTTTAATATTTTGTTTTTTAAATATATTTTATTCATATTCATAATTCAAAATACAAATGTTTAAAAACTTAAATTATAGGTATTAAACTTACATTATCATTCCATTATATTTCTAGCGTTATACGCAGAGTAATGGCAGGAGACCATTTGGTATTTCCACTCTTATTGTTGGATTCGACACAGATGGAACACCAAATTTATACCAAACAGACCCATCTGGTACATATCATTCGTGGAAGGTAAGAAATCCATTCAAATAAACCTACTTAGCATAGGTTTTATGCTTTCTTAATGGACTACTTAGATGATGTGGCAGCTATCTTGAATTACAAGGCATTATAGGTCGTCCATGTTACAAAAATGGCATAGAGTTGACATTTGCAGTTCATGACAAGATAATTTTACAAGAGATGAATTATAATAAGTRAACAGTTCCACAACTGAGGAAATTTAGTAGTCTATTCATGTGTCATTCTCTAGAGTGTCATTTCTTTGTTTAATTATTGATATAATGAGAAGAAACATCCATATGAATACATCTCAAACAAAGAACTTATTCTCAGTAGAATTACACTTCGTCTGAAATGGGAGAACATTACAAAAGRCATATCATTTGTTTTCAACAATTCATTTTTATTTTCCTAAGAAYAAAAGTCATAAAATTCCAGGGGGAGGGGGAAGGTAGTATTAGGAGTGTGGAAAAAAACATGGTTCAGATTGAAAAGTACTGTGGAAGGGAAGCAAAAGCTTAATTAGAAAACAAGTCTTTTGATGTGTTGTAGTCCTACATTTAGTCTTGGAGAGGGTTTATTTCCTTAGTCATCTCATCTCTTTTTCCCACTCTCCCCTCCCCTCCCACCTCTTTCCCTATATATATCTCTCTCTGAATTGTTGGGAATTCAACATATTTTGTTTTGTATCACAGGCTAATGCGATTGGACGCAGTGCTAAAACTGTCCGTGAGTTTCTGGAAAAGAATTACTCAGAAGAAGTTGCTAATTCAGACGATGAGACTGTCAAGCTGGCTATCAAGGCTCTTYTAGAGGTATTTTTAATATCACTTTTTGTTCACAAACCCTTTGTATATCAAGCTTCATGAACAAAGATATAATAGAACCATGGGTCTTTTAGGGTATCGGTAAAATTTGAAAGTTTTTTTAACATAACTTTTGTTTTGTGCATGAGAAAGAACTCTGGAATTTACATGCATTAATTATGTCAGATTATTACTGCTGTTTTCGATATCCGGCAAAATCGGTTGTTACAAGCTGCATGCTGAAATTTGTTTTATTGCTACCATCAATCAAAAATAATGAGTAGTTACCTTTTATGTCCTTACTTACGGCAGTGAAAAACCAATCAGCAAGCGGTTCAAAGTCTGAGTTCACAGAATATGGAGAACCACAGTAAAGTTATTCAAAAAAAAAGTTATTATTTTTTCAGTCTTTGTTTTTGTTACCTGATTAACTTGAGAGAACAACAAAAATGATGTTCATATTTTGATTAAGCAAACATGAATGTCTTGTGCAGCCTGAACTATTGCATTTACTATTAATATTTAACATGATTACTCTCTAGGTTGTACAGACTGGAGGAAAGAACATTGAATTAGCTGTCATGAAAAGAGGAGAATCAATGACGGTAAGAAAATTTACCATTCRATTACACTTCTCATAGCCTTCTTCTTAATCCTATAAACAATATGCATTGTGGTCTGGGCCCAGTTGTATGAAGCCTGGATAGCACTATCCAGTGGATAAATCCTTATGTAGTGAATAAGTCGATGCTGTTTTCCAATAAATTTATCCACTGGATAAGATTTATCCGTTGAATAGTGTTATCCAGGCTTCGTACAACCAGGTTGTGATGAACAAAAGATTTTTGTACCAAAGCTAGACTACAGTACACCATGTTTGCTATCTCAGGAAARATCTATTATTATTAGGATGCATTAGGGTCACTAATAATGGGTTATCAGTTGTTGTTAACAATGTCATGTGCTACCGTACCTGTAGTAAATAATATTTATGTACATGTAAAGTAAATGGTCATTTATTTACTTATTTTTATAGTGAAGACACTCAAAACATGAACATTTTGAAATTTTTGACACTTTTTTCAAATGCACATTGTAAATCTTTGCTTGGGACAATCAATTGGAAATAAGATATATTTTGATACACTTGAGTGTGTTTGAACTCAATACTTCATTTAGGAGAGTTTGAAAAAGTGGAAAGTTCTGAAAATGATAATCTGAAAAAATATCCAAGTTTTCACAGTTCAAGTAACAGTTCTCACAGTAATAATTTATTTATAAACTGATAATGAATACCACAGTTTGTTGTGGTACTGTAAACTTATCTGAGTGCAAAACTTTTTTTTTAATTCCTCAGATACTTCAGGCAGATGAAGTTGATAAAATTGTTGCTGTTATAGAAAAAGAGAAGGAAGAAGAAGCAGAGAAAAAGAAAAAAGAAAAGAAAGGTGGATCATAAAGTAAAGAAATTAAACACATGTAAAACACTTGTATGTGTAAACGTTGAGATTTCAGCTGATAATAAATGTGTAAATGTGAGAGTAAGAATGAGAATAGAATGGAAATGTTTTGGTGCTGTGTTTGTCGATTGTTTCAACTATTATGAGCGTACACCTTGTGTAAATACATCTATTGTGCATTGTGGTACAATATCCTGTCGCTTTGGAAAATAAATTGTCTTTACTAAAGGTATTAGTCTTGAACTAGTTGCTGCATTTATTTGTAATGAAGGCCAGTTCTATGTGGACCATATGACTTTCGGACATGGCACTTTATGATGGGTTATTACAGTACATTAAATTCAGTAATCACTCAACGATTTATTTCTTGATTAAAATATGATTCTTTTTAATATAAACAAGTTTCTTGCCTCTTAATGTACATGTAAAATAGAGCTTTCCCYGAATAGAGCTTTTCACAATTTTGGTTACAGTTTGCTAATCATACATCAGAATCAACTATATATTTACATAGTATAGTAGTAATAAATTATATATTTACAGTTTAGCTTGCATAATATTGAAATGATGTGTCTTTCGCAAACCTTATTGGCAATGAATGCCATAAATGCAATAGTATCAGCCAATGAGTTATCATGAAAATTTAATATTTGTTACTGAAAATTTTTGAGAATGAATATTACAAACTTTACATTGCCACATTTCAAAAGCCACTCCTAGACTATGCTTGATTTCTCTTCACTTAATTCTAACCATAGAAATGTTATTTATTCTAAAATGTCATCTATTTACAAATATAAAACTCAACCTAGATTCGCTATAAATATTGCAGTCAAGTGTATAAATTGCTTCCCTAATTCTGTCTTGTTTTTCATCATATTTTCATTTTTGTAAATAATGAATTCTGATTTTCAAACACCAAGGAATCTATTTTTTTTTTTGGCTAAGTTCCACCCATATTACCAGTTTAGGGTCATGGACTTTACTCTATTGTAGTTCTTGGTCTGAAAAATGAATTAAAACAGGATTGTGTGTAAGATAGATACATGTAACCTAGAGTAGCCAACATGCTGCATACATGCATGTAGGCCTTCTCTTTTTTAGTTCCATTGATTAAATTTATCGACAGCCTGATTGAGCCATTTTTTGGTTGACATAAGCCAAAATTTCCAATAGAGGCTTTGCACCATGAAATGATGGCAGCCATGACAGGAGGCACAACAATAGTCTTTTTTCCCGTGGGAAACTAAATTCTTTCTCATGTTAATCAGATTAGACCAGATTCAATATTATTGTTCCTGCCTCCTGTCATGGCTGCCATCATTTGATGGCGCAAAGCCTCTATGTATAAAGCAGAGTTTTTGGAGCTGTAATGACATGAAAACAGCTCTGACTAACRAAATGTTTAGTAATTTCTGCAAATCCTTACCCTTGGATGCATGACGGCATTAACTTCAGACATTTTGATGAGTTTTCCATGTCTTGGTGGACAACTAAAAAGCTGCTTTCCTCCTACTGTGCCACTGTTATCACCAACTAGGACAGAAAAGTAACATGATAATTATTTATAACATTTATTTTCATAATTATGCAACCAACAAAGCCTTCATAGTACTCAGTAGCATGAACATATACTTGTCATTAATAATGTAATGCTTTATGCGATACCTTGGGGATGCACCCTTAAAGATTGTGCATCAATCCAATCATGTAATGCATTATAAGAATCCTGTACTCAATTAGCAAGTACTTCATAATATGCCTATCTTCTTTGTCAAAATGCTTAGATTCAAACAGCTGGACTACCATTGATATTTTTTAGAAATTATGATATATCTCACTCACAGGGTTGATCAAGTTTCAGGCCCACATAGACAGGACTATTAGTTTTCTTGCCAACTTTACCAACATATTTAACCACACCAGAAATATTCAGGTTATCATCACCTGTGTAGAAGAAATTCAAGAATAATGTACATTTTAGTTTGACAGTTTCTCTGATTATTCAATACTAAGTTTTTAGAAGATAACCCAAATGCTTCCCTTGCCGATCCCTCAGTTTCTGCAGAGATGCCTGCCTTTCTACCCTGCAACAAGCCCAGTGAGCTCAGCCTCACTACTACAAAAGTGGGGTTTTCTGCCAAAAATCTACCTTGTCTTTCCTTCTTCAAAGAAATGTCTAACAGAATTTTGAATTGGGTGGTTCATCATGCTAACAAATGTCAGTCTTCATTTTCTCATGGGTGATAATTTCCCACATTTAAAAAAAAAAAAAAATTCTGGGCAGGAAACTCAAGTTTGAGCACCCAATGAACCTCAACTTCCAAACCTCAACTCGATAGACAAGCCTTCTGAACCCCCTGATATGGGTGCTCTCACCAAATTCTTCCTGGAGTCTATTATTATAAAGTTTCAATGAGAGAAACTTTTTGATTGATTGATTGCTTGATGATTAATTGATCAATCGATCAATTGTTTTACAGAGAGAGAAACTTTATTACTGACTCACCAACAACTTTACTCTGTATCATAACTCTGTCCCCTTTGTTTACCAAGTACTTGGCAATTTCTTCATCTGTGTCGCCACTGGCAATGCTAAGACCGTCAGTATGCAGCCATAAATCTTCACTCCGCATACCACTGAAAGTCCTGTTATATTCTCCATTCATTGGTGGGTGGGTGTGGATGCCATATGACGATAGAGGTCGGTGGGGTTTTCTTTTGTCTATGTCATCTGGTGGTGGTCTGGGGGATAGTTTTTGTTGATTGTCTTTTGTTTGGTCTGGTGTTTGTGAGGTTTTATCACTAGCCTTTAGATTGTTTGGTGGACCATCTGACACATCTTGGACTTCATTGTTTTGAGTGGACTTCTGAGTACTTTCTGGTTGGATATCCTAAGGATATGGAACAGAAGTGAGAATCAAAAAGAGAATGTAACAAAGGTATTGCATGGATTAATGCTGTGCTCAGATGCAGGATTGACATAGTTGAAATAGTTTTTCCCCTGTTTTGCTAGTATATTACATTAATATTCATAAGGCTAAATGTGAAACCTCAATGATCCACCCTTATTCTATGATTGAATGGAACTTTGACCAATTTCTGAGACCTTGAGTGTTAGGTCAGGAATTGGATCCAAGACCTGCACAACGAATAATTGATTATCTACTTAAATAACATATCGTAGTTCTAAACGACTGATATATTCTTTATACTACAAAATTTAAGCATGTCTGCATTCCAGACAGACTCTCCAAGCACTTCATCATTAATTACACTACTTTTAAAGGGATAACTCCCATCCCCTACATTTATAGCTTCACAGTACCTTATGCATTGTGTTAATGAAATCTGGATTGACTACTGGTAAACCAAGTTTATTGACCAATCGTCTGTGAGCTAAGCTATGCATCTTGGATTCAGGTGGTGACTGGTAGAGAGGAGGAGAAGCTTGTTGGATTCTCTTAGATGGTGCACTCCTATGTCTTCTCCTATCAGTTTAATGAAAGAATAGATAAATATTTACAAATTTCTAATGAATAAGTATTATCTAAAATTTTAATAGGTTATGCATGAAAAAAAGTAGCAAATTCAGGTCAACTACAGTAGGTAATATCGCTAGGCCTTGTTGAAATGTAAAGCTATTCTTGGAATGCAATCAAATAACTCAAGATCCCTCAGCATAAAAAAAAACAATGAAACAGTTGTCATGTCATGTTGCTTGATCTAACAAGAGAAGCAAATGAAGACTGCTTTGTTATTGTCGACCAACATGGTGGCTACGACATGTACCCCAAGAATTATAATGCAAGCTGGTCTGTGATTGGTGTCTGCAAATGCAAATGGCAGGGTTGATACTGGTTCGCAAGTGCTGGTTATGAGGATGGTAGGTGGGGTGAAAACAGCCACCTTACCTTATGGACCTTCCTCCTTTATTCTTCCATAATGCCTTGTCAGCACTGTACGAAGCCCACATCTCTTGTAGCTGAAGGTTAAGTTCATCAACCTGTGATCTGGTATGGATAAGTGCAATAAGCTGCTGTTCRATGTCACTCTCTTTGTTTGCTACCACTTCCTGGAGAGTTTGGATTTGATAGTCTTGATCTTCACATTTACTTTTCAGCTTCTGGTTATTCCTACTTAAGGTTTCTTTTTCTTTTCCTATTTCCTAAACAATTAAAAACAAATTAATCTTTACAAATCAAGAAATAACAAATTCCTGACCAAACTCATAGCAAAAAGGTCCCAGTTTAGAATACCCACTTCCTCCAACCTCTACCCCAAAGAAAAATGATGTTAGACTCCCCTACATGTATCAGGGTCCCTCYCCAGAGCCCCTGCTCTCCAGGAAAGTCCTATTCATTTTCTACGAGAATTTATTGAACTTTTTTTTAATCACTCTCAGGCAACTACTAAATAAAACCAAGTATGTCAAGTACATTGTATGTCAAGAAAAAAGGGGGRAAAAGATTATTATACTACTAACCTTGATCTTGAGGCAACTTTTCTTCAGTGATTCCTCAGTTTCTTTCAAATCAGTCTCAGTTCTTTTCAATTTTTCTATTATTCTTGCCTTTTCATCTTCGATCAGCTGAAGTTTCTTTTTAAGATAATCTACTTCTTCAAGGTCCTTTGAATATTTAGGAATAAAAACATAAATAAATAGGAGGATGGGATGGGTGGATGGATGG